TGTGCTGTTTGGGTTTTTTTGTTTTGTTTTATTTGGGTTTTTTTGTTATTGTTGGGTTTTTTTGAGGTTTTAATAGCAGAACTCTTTTTGCACATGAGGAATTGCTTAAAAGTTTCCAGAACATTTTCATTCAAAAGAAAAAAAAAAAGGCAAACAAAACTATTGTGAGTCTGAAGGAAGGATGTGGATGGGCTCTCTCATTCTAGTGCCAATGGTTTCATTACAAGCTTTACATTTGCTCTTGTGGGTTTTTTATTTGTTTGTTTGTTTGTTTTCTTCTTAAAACACTATTACCTGTGTGCATTATGTAAGATTTTGATCTTCTTGTTACTTTTGAGAGTATAATTTAGTCCCTGTGGTTTTGAAGCAAAGCTTGAAGCCTTGTCTTGAACATTTTGCTGTTCTTAGGTTACTTAAGTGAGAAACAAGAACAAAATAATCATTTTGGATTGAAATAATTCACTTCGATACAGAAGTGTTTGGTTTAATGGACCATTTTTCTCCATTTTTCTGCTCTCCTTTCTTCACAAATATCTCATTTTTCTTTTCAAACACTAATAACTGATTTCTGCCTACATAAAGATCTAAACGCTGTAAGAAGTAGCCACTGCTAGTTTCAGATACAACATGTTTTTCAGAAGTCTCTGTCTAATTTACAATTGTCATGATTTACAATCACATTATATTCTCTCCACCTGTTTTTAAGTGAAAAAAATTGAATAACAGAGGAAGCTGGCTAAATAATACCCCAGTTTTGCACCTTAGTGGCCTTTTATTTCTGTTTAAATTTCCCATGGTAAAATATATTTACCCACACGCTCTGTTGCAAGATCACCAATGATGACATGAAAACTGCACTCTGCTTGGAGAGCTGAGAGCACAAATCAGCATAAAAATATAGAAAAGGACTTCTTTTCTCCTCTAAACCTGTCAAATCATAGATTCTTCTCACAACACCTACCTAACCAGATGTAGATGAAATTTCTTATTGGCAGCTTTGTGGCTTTTCATTCAGAAAAAAAGCATCACTTACTTTCTGCTGTGTTCAGTTCTGGAAGGAAAGCTTCATCCTGCAGTCACCACACTCCAGAGATTTCCTTCCTCAGTGAATTGTGGGTTGAAGTCTGCAGTGGGAACACTTTGTGAATCATTTGGGTTTTAATACTGCATTTACAGTGACACACATATACAGCCATGGACCCAAATCTTCAAGCTTTACAATTTATTTTAGTTGTGTATCCATACATTTGGCAGAGTCAGGCTGAGAAGGCCAGGTGCCATTCACAAACCTCTTTATAATTACCAGAAGAGATAAGTGTTTCTTTTTGGCATGTCACCTTAATTAGTTGGTTTTGGGAAACCATGCAAGAGATAGATATCTAATTTTCGCCTCAATTCCCACATTGATTCTGTGCTGGAGACAACTGACACCTTTTTTTTCCTTGTCAATGGTAAGGGGACCCCTGGTTCTGCTGGACAGCATGGTGAAAAAGGAGAGAAGGGTGATCCAGGAAGAGTTAGGATAAAAGGTAACTACACATTTTATCTTTAGCCTTTTTGTTTCCTATACAATGTCTAGGCAATAGTGTGAGAAAAACATATTCATCTACTCTTTAATAAATTCATTACTTCAGTAAGTTACTGAAACCTAGAGGGCATGTATGTCCAAATTGCTTTCTTGGTACCATCTCTTCTTGCTAAACACAAGATCAACACAGCATTTTGTGGTTTTTATTCTATAGTTGAGCCATAAAACAGTTTTAACAGCATGTTATTAATGCTAACAAATGATTTTTCATGTCCTGTGATTGATAGCTGGGGTCTTACAGAGGTTTGTATAGCAAAGACTCAGCAGAATATAAAATACTATTGTACAGAACCACCTCCTGAAGTGTCATATATCAATATCACAGCTGATCCTCAACTTAAGCCACCAACATCCTTCTTGGGAAAAACTCAAAGTTTCAATGACTATTCAGATTCCTGCTCCTATTTCTAAAAATTACTCTTGACCAGGCATTGAAGAGAAACAATAGGCCACTGGTTGCACAACTGAAATTCGTGTAATTAAATAGATCAAAACCTCTCCACAGTTATGGTTATGATTTGCAAAAGCAAAAGAAACAGAGAGCAGTAAATTACAGCAGTCTGAAGGCAAAGCTGAGTTAGAAATGCTAAACTAATTATTCAAACAAAAGATTGTCCATCTTATTGTTTATAAAAAGTTAGCTTAGCTTTGGATGCCTGTGGTTTTTTACAGATGTTGGAGAGGGGAAAACATTTTCTTCTATTTGCAAAGGATTTCTTGACACAGCAAAAGTTACATTTTTATAAATATCGGTGCAAGAGAAATCTAGGGTGTAAATAAAACCTTTGGGAAATACTGATGCAAATATTCTGCATCATATGACATTGCTACATCCTGATTTCACTGAAATTAAGAATAAAACTCAGACTGATTTCAATATTTTGACTCTCTGTATAGCATGAATAAAAGCCACATTCTTGTGGTGCCTCTAAACATGTCTTTTACAGAGAGACCAAGTTGTTCCATGAGGTGTCCAACTAAAGCCTTCCTAAGCCTAAAATACTTCACCAAGGAAATGTGAATTCAAGGACTGGGAATTATCATGCAGATATGATGAATGGTTACTCAGCATTTACCTAAGAAGAAGTAACCTCCACCTCCCTCCCCAAAAATAATTACTGAAAATATTATACTTCTTTTTCTTTTCAAAATATTTTAAGGATTAAAAGGTGAAAGAGGACCTACTGGGGTTCCAGGATATCCAGGCCAGAGAGGTCTTGATGGCAGAGATGGGGAACTAGGATTGCCTGGGGAAAAAGGAGTTGAGGTATGTTTGACTCTCCCAGATTGTTTTTCCATTTCAATTAATGTATTATCTTATGAAAGGTTATGAAAGTTTTTATCCACTGAAAAATTATTTTCTTGTAAATATCATTGCTTATTTTGGTATTCCTGAATATAATTTCTGCCATATACTGTGTCCCAATATTATGGGATCAGGAAGCAAAAAATCCACTAACCCCTTTGTTCCTATTGCCCTTAAATATTTAAAAATACTAACATCATCCATGTAGTCTCTTAATTGTGGAAAGTGGTTTCTCCACATAATTCTCTAACATGCTTTTTCATAATCAAAGAAAGGAGAAAAATTAGCTCTTGTTACTTCTTACCAGCAAGTTTTCTTTCAGGGCGATGCTGGAGTATCACTTCCAGGTGATAAAGGATTCCCTGGGCTCCCAGGACCTCCTGGGGTAAAAGGACAGATGGGATTGCCTGGTTTGGGGTTTCCTGGCCCTCCAGGAGCCAGAGGTAGCCCTGGAGACTTTGGTGATACTGGTAATGTTGGGCCACCTGGTCCAAAAGGCCAGAAAGGTAATTTTGACTGTTTACATTAAGAATGAAATAACAAAAATACATGTTTGGTGGCATCCATTACAGTTTCATATGTATTACATGAAGTGTTATTCATTTATAGTGAAGGTGTTCTTAATTTATAGGAAAATACAACTTATATTTAAGGCTTGGTCTGTTTTTTGTTTATAAAAAGTGCTTAGCCAAACAAAAACATCTGCACTGATAGTGATATATATGAACCGGAACTATACATAGAATTGAAATGAAAATATTATTTCTTTCTTGCACTAGAAACTATTGTAAAGACAAATTTCCAAGACAAGTAAAATAAAACCAAAATACAAAATTGTAAGAAATACAACTGTATTACAACAATTTGAAATATAACCAATATTATATAGAAGTGTCAAGAAAAATATATTTTAAGATTCTCCATCAAAACATAGATAATATGGAAATAACAATGTGCATAATTAGTCACTTCACATTTGCACATCTAGTTGGTTAGTTCCACAGAAATATTACAGTAAGTGTTCAGACTCCATTTATTCTAAAATTAAATAAGCCAGTTTCTTCTCCCTTTTGCTTCAGGTGAAACTATCTGCATCACATCACCATACCCTGGAAATCCAGGTCCCCCAGGTTTTAAAGGTGTTCAAGGTATGTTTATATATAGGAGAATTTTTTATTTTAATTGAAATTTAAGTTGCTAATTTTAAAAAAGAAGCTATCCTAAAAAGCTGCAGCATTCCACTTTTTCAGCAGATACATGTCTGAAAATGTAAAATTGCAAATACACAGGAGTATACTCATCTAATAGAATCAAGGGCCAGACAGCTGCAGTTTGCATGATCAAAAGGTGTGCAGGCTGCCTCCATAGAAATAATTAAGTGAAGGTAGTTTCAAACTCTGTCCTGCCTCAATTAAAATGCATGAGAGAGTCTGTAAAATATGCAGATGGCTGGAGTTAGATAAGACCTGGAGTATGTACATCTGGGTACTGGGAAAAAGAGATGTGCAAGGCAAGGATATGCTGCGAGGCTGTAATTTCTAAAACTATATTGCTCATGGCAGGTTGAAATTGAGCCCTAAAATCTGAAAACTTATTACCATTATTTCAATTTTTAAACTTAATTTAAATTCAAAGAACTCATCCAGGAACTGGCAAAACATTTCTTGTGATCGCCTCCAAAGCATTTGAAATTGCTCAGAAAATCCTGATCAGAAGAATTGGAGACAGTGGATTTTCAAGCTCCTTAATGTGGTATTACCCAGTTCCCTGACATCAGTATTGTGGGTGGGAGCAGAAGTTTATACAGACATGACAGAACAGGGATTCGTGTATTGAGCTCATCTGCACCATTCCAGAAGCAGGATATAGCACAGGAGAGTATAAGAACTTGACACCTGTCATTCACTATGTTAATACTGCTGGTGTCCTGTAACATTAAAATATTATAGGAAAGATTTTTTTTCTAATTCAGTTGATTTGCAATCTGCTGTTTATGGAATACAGAGTACATTTGAGAACTCTGTCAGTTTATGTATTTCTTTTTTATTTCCAGGACCAAAGGGTTTAAAAGGACTCCCTGGGCATCCTGGACCAAATGGCTTTGAAGGGCCAAAAGGCCGTCAAGGCAGGCCAGGAGCAGGAATCCCTGGGCCAGAAGGTGAACTGTGCTTCTCTTAATCCAGGAGACCTGCTGGTCAGATTGTAATATATAAATGCAAGGAAAGATAGCTACCATGGTAGAACACCGTAGCATAGAATATAGAATAAAATGCAAACTTCAACAAAAGCTAGTGGAACAGGAATCTTTACCAGTATCCCTTGCTTTATTCCAGCTTTGCAGGTGCTACAATAACCTGAAGTTCAGTGTCCAGAGAGGAAATATTCTCAGAAAACTGAGAACAATTAGTGAAATTTTAGGAAAGGGAGTAAACTGGACAAGAGTGACAGTAGTCAAGACAGATGCTGCCCCAAAGAAAACCCCTGTCACTTCCCACAGGAATTTCCTCCTTCAACCCTCATGTATCATTAGCTATAAATGAGAAATCTGAAATTTAATGTGTGATGTTATTTTTCTTTGCAAAGTAATAATTTAAATCTGGTTACATTTGGATTATAATACAACAGCTTGGGGGGAAAAACAAACAAACAAACAAAAAACCAAACACCTCCTGAATTATACCCTATTTGAATTTAAAAATCCTATCAACAGGCTTTCGAGGCACAGCTGGTGATCCTGGTGATCAAGGTGAAAGAGGATCTACAGTTGATGGTAGAAATGGCCCTCCAGGTCCACCTGGCATAGATGGTCAGAAGGGTCTTCCAGGTGACACCACTTATGGCCCTCCGGGAATCCCAGGCAACAGGGGACTGCCAGGACCCCCTGGTGCTCAAGGAGCAAGGGGTAATCCAGGCATTCCTGGGCTTCAAGGTATGGGCCTGTTTTTATGAAACAGTTTATGAAACATTTTGTTAAAGGAGAAAATCTGAGCAAAGATGGCCCTAATTGAGATAAAACTTCCTCTTACCTGGAACCATCATGTTGACTGTGAACAGTGCATCGTGATTTTACATTTACATTTTCACAGTTCAGGTTGACCAGCCACTGAGGGGATCTGCACTGCAGGAAGAGAAAGATGCCTTTACCCAGTTCATGGAGTAACATGCAGCTTCCTATTCTTACTATTACTTGCTGCCTGGTGTCCATCTGGGCTTGGGGCCTCCTGCTCTGCCACACAGATAGTCCTTGCCTCAGATTGTTTAGTCAAACCTGAACAGACTGGAAAAAGGCAGGAGAACACTCAGGGAGAGAGGGGTGAATTTCTTTGCCCTATTATGCAAAGAAATAAGGAAATAAGAAAAGAGGATATTATTATACAATAATATCCTTTATGTCTTGTGCACTACACTCCTTGCTTCTGCAGGGGAGTTTTGCTGGTTGCTGCAAAGAGATCTCCACAGTGCATTTCCTTCCCACTTTACAGAGGATATTGCTGTTTCCTTTTCTAGGTCTTCCTTTTGCCCAGCCTTAAGCACTTCCACACATCCTTCTGTGCAAGGAACACCTGTAGAACTGACCCCAGAGCTGTGTGCCTGGTGCAGGCCAGTGAGCTCCTCCCACTCTGCTCCTACTCATCAGAAACCATCATCCTTACTTAGAGATGGGGACTAAATTCATATTTGTTCCTTAAAGAAAGGAGCTTTCCACAACAGCCAATTCTAAATTGCAGGAAAGCACCAGTTTTCACAAACTGCAAAAACTAGAGGACAATTAAGACACTACAGTAACTGAACATGTAAATTTCAAAATTAAAATTAGGAATTCTGAAGGATGGTGAGGAATGGAACTAAAACATTTTATAATGCTGTTTTTTCCCAGGACAACCTGGCACTCCAGGATTTCCAGGTGCCAAGGGTTTTAGAGGCCCAGAAGGTGATATAGGAGCACCAGGCTGTCCAGGCTTCCCTGGTCCACCATGTGTCACGGGCTTACCAGGGCCACCAGGACTCAGAGGTGCCATGGGCCTGCCAGGACCTCAAGGTATACCACGTCCATGGGGTTGCCTCACAGCACTGAGCTTTGCACATAGTTTCTGGCAGATTTCATCACACGATTTTTGTAGCTGACATGACAAATATTTCCACGGGGCCTGCCCATTTCTGGGCGTGTACATTATATTTTGCGCATTTCTTTAAACTCAAGGAATGTAGACTGTGCATCCCAGATATTTTCCAACTTTCCTTTCTTTCCCATGCTGTTCTTTAACTGGCCAAATCACAGTGTGTTCACTATCAAGTAACAAATGGAAGAGTTAACTCTTATTCTGTTGTCCTCATAGCTTAACTGAGCTCCTGTCACTACTTTCATACTTTTATCTTCCTTATTCTTAAGTGGAATTGTTATTTAGGAAGAGCTAGGAGACATATATATCAAATGTATTTACAAATTAGTAGGGATTTTTCACAGTGCTCTTCTACTGATACGTCTGTCACTAAAGAAATACAAGAAAACAAACATTCCAAGTGATAAATCTAGGCAGGACCAGGACTCCAACATGGTAATAAAGCTTCCAAGTAATTTTGCCATGTTTGCTGATATTTAAATTTATACCAAAACTTTCTGCTTTTTAGATACAATTGCTGAACCTTTTCCTGCATTTACATACATAGATTAAAGCTCTTTTTCTCAGGTTTACCAGGCCTTAAAGGTCAGAGGGGAGACAGGGGCCTAGCTGGGCCACCTGGAATCAAAGGTCTAAAAGGTTCTCCAGGCTCACAAGGTCCCCCAGGTCCTCCAGGCTCACAAGGACTTCCAGGACTTCCAGGCAATAGAGGACCTGCTGGTTTCCCAGGAGAAACAGGTGTGTCAAACATCCTGCAAACCACTTCATCTATCACATCTCTTGTAGAGGAACCTATTTCTGCTGCTGTTAACACTAGGAAGTACTTTGCACCCTCCTTTCTTTCCAGCTTCAAGAATAAGACCCTGCAGCAGGGTAGAGTCAACTAACCATAGCACCCCTTGTTCTTTCTCTTATGATAAAATCAAAGGGATGGAAGTAGTTCAGTGCATGTTGGTGTATCCTGGTACTTTAGCTGTTTTACAGCACTGACCTATTTCCATGTATTATTTCCTGACTGTAATAGGTTGTAATATGCTATAGTAAGAACAATATGTTTTAGACATTGGCCCATTAAGGAGACTGGTTAACAGTGCCTTGGGATGCAATACTGAAGGGCAAAGAAGTCCAGGAAGGCTAAATATTCTTCAAGAAGGAAATCTGAAAGACATAGGAACAGGCCATCCCCATGTGCTGAAAGACGAGCAACAGGAAAGGTGACCAGCATGGCTGAACAGAGAGCTTTGGCTGGAACTCAGGAAGAAAGGGAGAGTTTATGAAGTTTGGAAGAATGGCCAGTCAACTCAGGAGGATAAGGGTATCATGAGCTTATGGAAGGAGAAAATTAGAGGGACCAAAGTGCAACTAAGACCTCGATTTGGCTACTGCTGTAAAAGACAATGAAAACATTTCTATAAATACACTGGCAAAAAAGGAGGGCTAAGGAGAATCTCCATCCTTTATTGGATGGGAGAGAGGCTGAGGTACTTAATCCCTTCTTTGCCTCATTCTTATGTAAGACCAATAGTTCTCTGGGTACCAGGCCCCTGAGCTGGAAGATGGGGACAGGGAGCAGAATGAAGCCCCCATAATCCAGTAGCCACATGCAAGATCTGCTGGTGTGTTGGGGATAACAGCTTTGGTAGTAAGTGTAGCCTAAATCTCCAGGAGGTGGCAGCAGGCAGGAGGAGAATGTTTGTTTCAAGGGAATCTGGGTTTCAAGAGATGTTTGATCTTGGCATGAAGCCAAGCTCCAACTGTTGGTTCTCTACCTTTGCTGATTTCCTAAGGAGTCCTTCTGAACTTCCTGCTTTTGCATTATACTCTTCCTTAGAGTATGACAGCAACGGTATAAGCAGACTGAACGTGTAAATAAAGCATTTCATATTACCAGGAAGCAAAGGGATTCAGGGACCCCAAGGATTCCCAGGACTCCCAGGAACACAAGGCACAATGGGAATCTCCGGTGTAAAAGGCGAAGAAGGAAAAATGGGTCCACCTGGGCCTAGTGGAGAATGTGGGGATATAGGAGTAAAAGGTTTGTAAAAATCCACTTCACTCTGTAGTTATGTTGATGCTGTGTTTAGTTTTGCTACTGCTGTGTTAGGAATATATTTACTTTTTATAGGAAAGAGAATAACCATCTCCACAATCACAGGCAGTACACAATTGCCATCTTTTGTAATCTTTCATAATTCTGATTTAATATCACCTGGGTTACTACTGAATTAACTAAAAAGTAAGAGAAGCAGGATAAATTTTGTTAGCAGTGAGCCTGGTGAAACAACTGAGAACCACATTAGTATTTGAAGGCTTTCTCTATTAGTGAAGCCATTACTAAAATTAATTTTCAGGACATGTCATTCATGAGATATACTTACATTCCATATTTTTGGCTCCAAGGTGAAAGAGGGTCTCCAGGAGACAGTGGCTACATTAACATCCGTTTAGAGAAAGGACAAATGGGAGACCCAGGGTTTCCTGGTGAGAATGGATTTAGAGGTGAAAGAGGTAAGTTCGTAAAATAAAGCCCTGGATTCATAAAATAAAGCATGGACACACATTCATCTCCTATAAATCACTGGTTTTCACAGGTAGGGACTCTTGGCTGCAGAAACGCCCAGCAACCTTATCATGTTTATGGATTCTTAAAGTAGCAGGATAGTTTCTTTGGACAATTACACAACACACAGAGTGTGGCAATACACAGTGTGAAAGCGTTGCCATAATCAAAATAAGTGTCAAATAATGGCTTGACTTTATTGGTCATTATCTTGATCTGCAATTAACTTCAGGTGAAAAAGGCAATACTGGTTTCAGAGGCACCCGAGGATTTCCAGGGAAGAATGGTGTTCCAGGACTGCCAGGTGACCAAGGTGACACTGGAGTGATGGGGTTTCCAGGATCATTGGGTTTCCCAGGACCAAAAGGCTTTAAAGGAATTACAGGTTTTCAAGGAGAACCAGGTGACCAGGTAAACAGAGTGGTAGTGAAATGTCCTGGACTTTGCAGTTATCTCCTGCCTCTAAGAAATAGGATGAAGGGTACGTGTATTGTACTCACCCATTAGATCTTCCCCTCAGAAGAGACTGTCAGTATAGTGGAAATGTAAGTTGCCTAATATCTAAATGCTTTGATTACCTTTTAGCGGGAACTGTAGTTGGAGTCAGCAAAGGGCCTCTCCCAGCTGCATGTTCTGAGTTTGTTCTCTTGCCACTTGGTGGAAGTCCAGGCTACACTACACTAATTAGGGGGAAAAAAACAGATGCACCATCAATTTTTTACCATTATTCCTAAGAACAGATTGACAGATCACTTACCACAGAGATCATAACACAGCGGCAGCACAATTAGGAGATTAATATGTAGCTGCTCCTTCATATCTCACTGTGGCCAAGCCAAGAGACACAGCAAACCAAGTAATCTCTGGCTGTAGTGCCAGTTTGCCCCAAGCAGACCCCAGGCAAGCAGTACTGCTCAGGAACAAATATACAATCTCACACACACATATATATATATATGGATATAAGGTACAATTCTTCACTTCTTGTGTGCTAGGCAGACAGACAGTGAGATTACATGAAGCATAAAGCACAGGGTTTTTTGGTAAAAGGGACATATTTTTTCTTGATTTGTATTTTATGAAATTTCTTTGAAGAGATAATGTGTGATTTGACGATTATAGATCATTATTCAAAAGGAAAAATAGGGAAATCTTTACATTTTTATTGTTACAATACAACATATTGCTGATTAATGTTTATAGTAAATTTTGGGTAACATACAACAATATTTGGTATATTTTAATGGTACCTTTTAAATCAAATTACTCAGGCCATCTGTGAGGAATTTAAGCTGTTATGAGCCAAGAGTTAGAATAAAGTATAAAAGCACAAATTCAAAATTATTAGCAAGTCTAATCTACAGTTTCTTGGAAGTGTTAGTGGTCAGTGTTAGACATGTAACAAAGACAACATGCTTTTCTGTTGAGCTTAAGATACAGTTTTTCTAAGAGCACCAAATGCTCTTATAGATTATTCCTGCTACACATACCATATGTCAAACATTTTTATTTTGTTTTTTAAAAAAATCAGGGTGATGTTGGCTTACCAGGAATCCCTGGAAATCCAGGACTGACCGGCCCAAAAGGATGCAAAGGTAATGAGTTTATACAGACAGGCTTTGAAAAGAGCAATATTGTTATGATGTGTGTGCAATAGATGACACGGACTCAGTAGAAAATATAATTTCACTTCTGTCCTGCTTTCCCTTAAAACATGAGTGTAATTAGAAACAAGTCTGACTTACCTGAAGGCAAAAATTGCATTTCAGTATACCCTGTGACAGTTTTTTCCTTTAAAAGATGATCTTACTAATTTAGAAGATAAATTTGTGTCCAATTTCACAGAGTTTAAAAATTCCATTAAAAAACATGTACAAATCCATTCTTATGGATATGGAAAATTAGTCAATATCCATAAAAGAAAATGCAATCAAGGTGAACTGTCATAATTCGCATGTGCCAAAGCAGTTTTCATTCTGTGTTCTCTCAGTCCCTTTTATAGCTGTTAATATCTATTAGTAAATTTTCTGATCTTACAAAATTGTCCAGCTTTGCTTTTGTGGCTGAAAAGGATACTTGTATAAAATGGAAGTCATTGTACCTCCACAGGCGAGAGAGGCGACCCAACTCCTCTGCTTGGTGCACGTGGTCGGAAAGGGGCTCCCGGAGATCCAGGATTACCAGGTACCTCGGTCTGACTGACAAAAGAATCGGATTTAAGAGCTTGTTTTCTCTCAGTTTTGTGAGCAGAGAGGGAGCTCTGCTTCCTGTGCATACTGAGTGGTTCTGTAGTGAACCACAGGGACTAAAGAGACATCCCAGTGTGCAGCAAGTGTGGCATGAGCATAGGAGGTGGAGTCTGCTGCGGTCCAGCACAGCACTGATGGACACAGCAACACTTACTGGAACCAAACCTGGCCTGGCTGTCTCGTGCTGGCCATTTCTGCTCTGTCAGGTATCACCAGTGAGGGCTGTACAACTCACTGCTAATAGGCAGATGCAAAGATCTGAAATATTTGGATAAGATTCTCTTTCTAGTCAAGAAACCCTTTACTTATATTTTTTAACTTATCATGAAATGAAGAATGGGCAACTTTTAAAAAATAAATGCTAGATTACTCTTTTTTTTTTTAGGACTCTGTGGATTCCCAGGGGAGAAGGGTTCACCAGGAATCCAAGGACAACCTGGAGGGCCAGGATCCAAGGGTGACCCTGGATATCCAGGAATACCTGGATTACCAGGTAACACCAAAATTTAAAAAGTAGCGTGATAGCACTGTTGAGGAGGCCCCTCTGTGGAGGAGGCTAGAGAAATCAGAGATGTGAAGGGGTGTATTGAAAGCTATTTCTGTGCCTATAGACAGCAGAAATTGTCTGCTCAATCTCAGAGAACAAGATCCATCAGTTCTTCATTCATCCCCAAACACTTTAAGGTACCACTGATTAACACAGTGTATTGCATAGCATGGGGGAAAAAAAAAAATCAACAATTTAATAGATTTGCATAATCACAGATTATTTTTTTTTCCGCTCTCAGGAGCTACAGGTCCTCAGGGATTACCAGGTGAACCTGGAGAAAGAGGGAAACATGGAATTTTGGGGCCTCCAGGATTGCAAGGGTTACCTGGATCCCAAGGCAGAAAAGGTAAAAAGTATACAGTGCCATTCTAGTGGTAATGTAACAGTATCAAACATAAATACCCTTTTAGGAGGGAAAATGGAAAAGGCCTGACTGTGACCATGATTTGGATTCTGTGGTCTCTTAAAGTACTAGAAGAATTAAGCCAGTTCCCATCACCTTTGAAAAGTAACATAAATGCTACTTCAGAAAATTGGGATACAATTTAAAAGGAGAAAGGTAGAAACAGAGTCTGGCTCAGCTGATGTAACTAATAGCAGAACTCAAGAAAAAGGAGTTTGCAGTAATTCAGTTGTTTCACTTCAGTTATGCTGTGTTCTACATTTTCACCATGGAGTGCCACTGTTACTCTACAAACCCAGCAGACTGCAACGGACAGATTTGTCTTCCAAACTTGTTTTAACAAATTATGATAACTTGTTTTTTGTTGTTGGTTTTCTTGTGTTGTTTTCTCCCAAAACTGAATTTTGAGGGATTTAATGTAGAAGTGTTTCCTCCAAATCCTAATTTACATTTCTCACCATGATTATTGTGTTTAGATTGAACTGTAGTTCATCCATATGGTTGTTTTTGTTGGAGAACATGATTAACTTTTTCTATGTTCAGAATTGAAATTTTAAGTTACAGTAATAGTTCACGAAGAAAGTTATCAACTCTGTATCCTCTCTCTGTTATATTGTGCTTCATAACCAGTTCCTGAACAGGAAAAATATTAGTGATCCATATACAGAAACCACAGTAAAGTAACACTTGGAGCTGTGATAAATGGTTAGAGAGAACAACAGATCCACTTTTTCAAATTCAGCCTAAGGAAAAATCAAGGTGGTTTCTTATAAACTACTGAAAATGTAAATGAAAAATGGAAACCATTTATGATTGTCTGCAGTAAATAAGTGGTGCTGATTTAAACTGTCATGACAGATTCCCTGCTGGTGCATAATGTACAAGAGAGCATTTCAGTGTTGCAAACAATATCTGCTGTAACAAAGGCAAAGATCTGCAGTGGCAGGGATATCTGAATTGAGAAGGGTCAAGAAAACCACAAAACATTCTTCTGCTGAAAACTTCTTCACAGCAGATGGACTCTTTACTTCCTGTCATAAGTGATAAGACACTTCTTCTCTATATTGTGCAGAAGTTATTCCAAGTCCTGCACAGGAACATAACAAATTAACACAAGTGCTGCAGAGGGAAAAGTTCAGTTCCAAATAGTGGTTCATTAGACACCGAATTGCCTGCTGGATTCTATATATTGCCAGCATAGTTGAGAAGAAGGGTAGCAACTTTGAAAGTACACCCAGTAATGAAAACGGAATGGTATTTGTATTCCAATTCAATTGGAGAATATAGATCTTAGTGCTGTTTTCAACAAGTGTTGTTGCCAGCATTAAAAATGAAATTGGCTGTGCATAGCTAAGTACAGAGCCTTGTCTGTCCCACTGGTTCTCATTTGCATGAAAGGCCTTGTGCCTAAAGAACTTGAGGATTTTTTAAAAATTAGTTAAACAGCATCTACAAAAGTATAATCCCATTTTCTTTATTACAGTAGTTTTACTAGTTAAGGACTTAGTCTGGCAAGCCTTACTTGTGTGAGTAATCTTTGATGAAGAAAGTAATATTAAGAACATCAGCAGAATGACCTGTAGAAGTAGAAGCTGAATTGGGCTGTACAATACAGAAACAGTAGTTCATGCACAGGTCAGCCAATTCAGCTGTACCTAGAAATATGGG